AGCCTTCAGGAGCCGTAACGGGATATATCACCCGTCACAGCTGTTCTGCGCGTCTGCCGGCGCTGCCCTTGGAAGCAGCAGGCGGTGGGGCCTTCGGTCGAGCTTCCTATGGGGCCACGAAACGTATGAGAGGTGTGCCGAAATGGGCACCTTCACGCATGCGGTTCCTGCCATTGCTGCCTTTGGTGGAGCTCCCTATGGGGCCACGAAACGCGTGAGGGGTGTACCAAAATGAGCGCGGTGACGCATGCGATCCTCGTCTGCAGGGCGACGAGGCCCAAGGTGGGCATGACCAGAGGCGGTGAATGTTGGCACATCTCTCGCCGCCCGAAATTGTTCGCAACGCAAGGAAGGGGGGAGGGCGGGCGGTCGGCGCCTGCCCCTCCCCGCGCCGGGGCGCCGGGCGCGAGGCCGCCGCCGCGGGCCGCCTGGGCCGCCCCCGCTCGAGGAAGGGGGCGAGTGGACGAAAACGACGAGGCAGGTGGGAGGAGGCGGAGGAGGAGGAGGAGGAGCAGGAGCAGGAGGAGGTTGGAGGAGGCGGAGGAGGAGGAGGCGGAGGAAGTGGGAGGAACGGGAGGAGCGGGAGGAGGATGAGGAGGAGGAGGAAGAGGAGACTGGAGGAGGAAACGGGCAACGACGGAACCTCTGGCCGTCGTGTGATCTGCTCGGCACGCGGCCCGGGCGCGGCCCAGGCCTGGCCGCCCCCTCTCGACAGGCGGGGAGATCCATGTGCACATCCATCGCCCCTGGCCAGAGGCTCGTCTTTGGCCCAGGAGCGGTGAACCCGGATCTCCAACGACGTGGTATTTTCGTCTGGGGTGTCTGCCTCGACTTGGGCCTCCAAGGCCGCCACCAGACCCCAGGGGCATCAAAAACGAATATGGGGCGAAGCACTGGCCCTGGGGAAGGGGTCGGGACCCTCTGGGCCACGCTGTGAAAAATCATAGGTCGTCGGATGTTTGGGGATACGACCCGCTGGCCTGGCCAGGGAGGCATGTACACCGCTCCTGGGTCCAGAATCGCGGTGGCCATCCTGAGGCTGACCCTGGCGACGGGGTATACGTAGATCCCCTCGTCCGACTCGGGGCGGGCGAGAGGGAAAGATGGCAAACGATGGGGTTACCGAATCGGCCGCACGCAAATGCCCGTTTCTGGTCCAGCGCCTCGTGCGCGCCGGAAGCGCCAGTGTATCGAGTGACGGGGCCAAAAGCCAGCCACATGCAGCAGATGACGCAAAACCCCCCTCTCGAAACCGCCCTTTCAAACCCGATCCCACCGCCCTCTGCCCGCCGGCGATGCAGACCCGATCGAAGATCTAAAATCAGTTCTCGGGAAGCGATCGAAGATCGATCCAACTTCTTCCCCCTCCTAATCATAATAACGAAGACATACGAATCATCATCATCTCATCTCCTTCATCATCCTCATCCTCCATCCTACTCCTCATCACTACCTCCTAATCTCCTCCCCTACTACTCACTGACTCCTCTTCATAATCATCCTGCCTCCTCCTCCTCCATCTCTTCTCTTCCCTCCTCCTCCTCCTCCTCCCTCATCCTCCTCCTCCTCCCTCCTCCTCCTCCCCTCCCTCCTCCTCCTCCGCCACTACCTCCTCCTCCTCCTCCTCCTCCTCCTCCTCCTCCTCCTCCTCCTCGGACTCCGAGTGCGCCCCAGTCGCCGGTTTCCCTCACTCCCTCCCCTCCCGTCAGCTGCCGTCCCAGGCCAAGGGCCTTCGCCAGCACAAAGGGTGCTGTATTTGGTCCCCACCACCACCCGGGAGAGCTGCCATGCGCGTCGACCCGTCCTGGCCCGGATCCGAAGACGACCGCGCGCGACGAGATGTGGCCGGCAGGCGCCGTGGTAGCAATCTGCCGAGGCCGCCCTTTCGCGCCTCCGTGTGAAGGCTCGGCTACGCGGCCCGAATCGGCCGACGTGTCTGGATGGGCGACGTGGCCGCGCTGGCGTTCGCTTGCGGTGGCCATACCCGTCGACGCATTCTTCCCCAACCCGCCCATCCTTGCGTACCTCATGATCGTGCTACGGGTCTCGCAGGTGCTGATGGGTTTGCTAGTGTTGCTGCTCCGAGACCGCAAGGCCATCCGCCGGCGCGTGCTCCTCCGACACTTGTGGAAAGACGCGTACCATCGCCGCCGGCTACACATTCGCCGGCTGCACCTCCGGTGGACGAGGCTCCGAACGCTGGATCTCCTGGAAATGTTCACGGTCCTCGTGATAGCGCTCTACGCCCTGCGCCATGGTTGCCTGCTGGTGCTGCGCCCCCGGAGGCGCCTGGGAAGGTGGCGCTTGCGGTTGCCCCTTCTGGCGGTGTTGCTGCCGCGGCCGTGGCCGCGGCTCCGGATCGTGGATCTCCTGGTGATGTTCACGATCCTCGTGCTCGTCCTCTACGCTCTGCGCCAGAACTCCCTGCTGGTGCGGCGCCCCCGCAGGCGCCACGTCGCGGGGCGTTTTGCGCGGCCGCTTTCGGCACTGCTGCTGCTGGGGCCGAGGCTCCGGAATCTGGAGCTCCTGGTGGTGTTGTCCACGCTCCTCGCGATCGTGACCTACGCCCTGCGACACGTCTGCCTGCTGGTGCTGCGCCCCCGGGGCGCCAGAGAGGGTGAGGTTCGCGGTCTCCGTTTCCGGCGCTGCTGCTGCCGAAGCCAGGTTTCAGGATCATCTCGATCGTGCTCTTCGCTCAGAACCGCGGATACCTGCTGGAGGTGCGGTCGGCGCTTCTGGAGTTGCTGCCGCCGCGGCCGCGGCCTCGCCTCCGACACGTGGATACCCTGGTGTTGTTCGCGATCAACGTGATAGTGCTCTACGACCTGCGGCACGATCGACTGCTGGTGCTACGCTGGGCGGATGCACCTCGTCGGGCGCCGTCTACAGCTGCCGCTTCCGGCACTGCCGCCGCCGCGGCCGAGGCTCCAGAACCTGGAGCTCCTGGTGTCGTTAAAGGTCATCGTGATGCGCTCTACGCCGTGCGCCGCCGTTTGCTGCCGGTGCTGCCCCCCCGGTGGGGCCAAGCCTCGAGGCGTGCGATGCCTCCGCCTCCAGTACTGCTGCTGCTGCCACGGCCCTGGCTCCGGACCGTGGTGCTCGCGGTTTTGTTCATGAACGTCACGTTCACCCTCTGATCCTTTTGCACTCCAGCAGGCCACCATTTCGAGTTTTCGACTTGCAGTGGAAATAAGCCCGAGTGCAACGCAGATCTTCTTGGATTCGCGGCGCGTCTGCGAAGTCGGCCGAGTCGAAGCGTGAGCTGACGGCATGCCTTGACCGAGCTGTCGCCGATGCTATGTTTAACAAGTGCGTGCGCTGGTGGGTCCGGGCAGGACCAATGCCTGAGCCTGCTCCTCCCCCTCCTCAGGCATTCACTTACGATGATATACTTGTCAGTGCGCGCCTGGCCCAGTTTGGGAGGACTGGCATTCAGTTACGATGATACGCTTGGCCAATAGTTGCACATGTGAAGGACTGGCTGGGAGGATGGTAATAGGACGGTGGATGGAGGGTAGCTGGACGTCACCGAGCTTTTTGTAATGCCGCTTCTGCCCTCCCGCGCCCTCCCTCGGACAAGCGTGGCGATAATCGTGCGGGTTTCCGCCGCCGTCTCGACTTACGCTTCCGGGCGTCAGGGCGCGAAGATGTTGTTCCTTCCCCTCTCAGGAAGACGAACTGTTGTTGTACGTTCCTTGTGCGGCAACGCCTTATAGGAGCTCAGTGGGGTCGGAGTGGTCAGGCAGCCTACTCGCGACTCCCCCTAGCGTCCCAGTCTTACACTCTCCTCTCGGATCTTATCATACCTCCCCTCGGTCTTGCCCCTCATCCTTCCCTTCCGGGGCAGAATGAGAGCTACGTCGAGCTGGCCATCAGTCGTACCAGCCCCGTGCAGTTCCGTCCAAACTGGGGGTATGTGGGGACAGGACGGGGGCAAGGAGATTCACCAAACCTTGGCGCCCGTGCTGCATGTACGCACTGTTGCATCGTTCCCAGTTGCCACAGCCAGCGTCTGCATCTAGTTGAGTGCCGCAATCTCGTGTCAGCCCCAGTGGTTAATCACGCTCGCAATCCAAAAAATCCCCTCCCCTCCCTTCCCCTAGAACCGCTCCGCTCCGCTCCGCTCCTCTCCTCTCGTCCTCCTCCTCCTCCTCCTCCTCCTCCTCCTCCTCCTCTTCCTCCTCCTCCTCCTCCTCATCCCCTCCTCCTCCTCCTCCTCCTCCTCCTCCTCCTCCTCCAGTCCTTTTCCTTACGGGTAACTCCTCCCTGTCGCACCCCGAAGCCAGTTTTTAGGGCGGGCCGGGCGTTTCGCCTGAGACTTCCTCAACATGTATGACTTCGAAGCTTAAAAAATAACCACAGTTTCACAAATGGAGGGCGGGTCGTTTTCAAAATTTGGCTCTCGCCTAAGCGCCGCGCACATACGTTTCAAAACAAAAAAGAGCTTCACAGATTGAGGGCGGCTCGTATTCAAAATGTGGCTCTCGCCTTAGCGCCGCGCGCATTCGTTTTTTTATTTGCAAGAGCTTCACGGATTGAGGGCGGGTCCTTTTCAAAATGTGCCTACCCCCGCAGCGCCGCGCACATTCGTTTTCAAAACTTGCAAGAGTTTCACGGATTGAGGGCGGGGGGGTTTTAAAATGTGGCTCTCGCCTCAGCGCCCCGCACATTCTTCTTCAAAATTTGCACGAGTTTCACGGATTGAGGGCGGTTCCTTTTCAAAATGTGGTTATCGCCTTAGCGCCGCGCACATTCGCTTTCAAAAGTTGCAAGAGCTTCACGGATTGAGGGCGGGTGGTTCTCAAAATGTGGCTCTCGCCTTAGCGCCGCGCACATTCGTTTTCAAAATTCGCAAGGGGTTTCACGGGTTCCAATGCTCAACGTACACGAAATGGTGTTTTGGAAGGATTCGGGATTATGCGGGTGCAACAGTTATGTTAGTTCGCGGTGTTGAAGTCCCAAAAGTGGCGCTCTGGCACGATTCCGGATCGTCAAGACGCAGCAGTCAGGTTGATACGTGGCGTTGAAATTCCGAGAACAATGTTTTGGCATGATTCAGGATCTTCAAACGGTTGTCTTCCAACGAGGCAGTTCCCCCAACGGAAATGAACCGTTGTAGGGGGCCTATGAAGAGGGAGCTTGGAGGGAAAGTCAATTCCAACACCGTTGATGACTCTTGGTTTTACACTGGTCCTCTTCCTCCTCCTCCTCCTCCTCCTCCTCTGCCTCCTCCTCCTCCTCCCACTCCTCCTCCTTCTCCTCCTCCTCCGCCTCCTCCGTCTCTTCCGCCTCCTCCGCCTCCTCCGCCTTTTCTCTCCCTCCCTCTTTCCCTCCCTCCCTCCATCCCTCCCTTCCTGCCTCCCTCCCGCATCCTCCTCCTCCTCCCCCTCCTCCTCCTCCTCCTCCTCCTCCTCCTCCTCCTCCTCCGCATCCTCCTCCTCGCATCACCGCCGTACAGCCTCGGGCAAGCTGGTGGCGACGACGACGACGACAACGACGACGACGACGACGACGACGAGACGACGACGAGACGACGACGAGACGAGACGAAACAAAACGAAACGAAACGCGACGAGACGAGACGAGACGAGACGAGACGATACGAGACGAGGCGAGACGAAACTAGACGAGACGAGACGGGACGAGACGGGACGGGACGGGGCGAGGCGAGGCGAGGCGAGACGAGACAAGAAGAGACGTGGCGAGACGAGACGACACGAGACAAGACGAGACGAGACGAAACGAGACGAGACAAGAAGAGACGAGGCGAGACGAGAGGAGGCGAGGCGAGACGAGACGAGAGACGAGACGAGACAAGACCAAACGAGACGACGACGAGACCAGACGACGACGACGACGACGACGACGACGACGACGACGACGACGACGACGACGACGACGACGACGACGACGACGACGACGACGGCGACGGACGACGACGACGACGACGACGACGACGACGACGACGACGACGACGACGACGACGACGACGACGACGACGACGACGACGACGACGACGACGACGACGACGACGACGACGACGACGACGACGACGACGACGACGACGACGACGACGACGACGACGACGACTACGGCAGCGGCGGCGACGGCGGCAGCGGCGACGACGGCGGCGGCGGCAGCGGCGGCGGCTGTACTGACGACACTGGCGGCACTGGCTGAGGCGGCTGCTCCGGGATGCAAACGCTGTTGTTGCTTTTCGGGAGCACACGAACCCCGCATATGGTTTTGGGGAGAAGCGGCGCACGGTTTAAGTTTTTCAAGTTGGAGTACGTGGCCTCTTCGCCACCCAGGCCCCGAGCCGCTCGATGCCTTCCTAGGGGGTGATTTGTCATTCCCATTGGCGTTTTGATCGCCTCCGGGGCCCGAAAGAAACGGGCTCCGAGGACGGAATTGGGAAGACACGCTTACGCAAAAAAGATGGGACGTCGGAGTCTGTGGAGGCGGCCCGACTAGACGGCCCGACCCCAGAGCGAGGTGCGCCTTGGGGTCGGGCATAAGCGCGTGAATGCGTCCATACCCCGAGGATCCAGGAAAATCACGGAGGATTGAGCATCGATCCTGTCGGCGTGTGCGAGGGGCTTGGCTGTTCGAGTCGTCGTCTCCGTCGGTCGTCGCCTCCGTCGTCTTCTTTCCCTGCAGCTTCCTTCTCAAGCTCGTGAGCGAGAGAAAAATCTAGCAGTGTCGTAATCGAGTCGAAGGGAAGCCCCTTCCCTTTGATCCCTTCCCCAGGGGGGGGGGGGTCCCGGGGGGGGTCCCGGGGGGTCCCGGGGGGGGTCCCGGGGGGGGTCCCGGGGGGGGTGGGGGGGCAGATTCGTTTTTCCTCGGGCGGCCTAGAAACCTCGAAAACACTCCAAATGAGGTCCGAATGCCCAAGATGGCCCCCGAGACGGCCCAAGAGGGCCCCGAGTCGCCCAAAGATCGGCCGAAAACGCCCAAGATAGCCCCAAGACCGTCCAAGAAGCCTCCAAGACGTCCCAGGCCCCCTCCAAGAGACCCCCAGGAAGCCCCAAGAGGCCCCCACGAGGCTTCCAAGCGGCCCCTTAAGAGCTTCCCAAGAGGCCCACAAACTACCCCCAAGAGGCCCCCAAGAGCGCTCGTCGTCGTCGTCGTCGTCGTCGTTGTCGTCGTCGCCATTCAGGGTCGGCGGCACCGGCCGTAAGGCCTTCGCAATCACGGAGGATTGAGCATCGATGATTCCGCAATCTTCGGACCCCCCTCTGGCCGCCAGAAGCCTCCAGAAGCACTCAGGGACCTCTGGGGTCATCCGTCGGGGGGGGGGGGGCCTTCGAGGAGGGCGCAGGAGAGGGGAGGAGCTAACCATGTCCCGAGGCGTGCACGTGGACGAGGGGGGGGCCACGAGATCCAGGAGAATTCACAGCCCCCGCCATGAGAGCCCCCCCTGGTCCTTCCCACTTGCCTGTCCCCGACGCAGGGGGCCCTGAAGGAAACTCCCGGGACCTCCCAGGGCCTCTGGGCATCTCAGGGAACAGCGCAGATCCTTCCTCTGCGCTTGCCCAGCCTGCCCGACGCGGGGCCAGCAGGAGAGATCAGTGCACCGAGTGATCATCTCCAGGAAGGGCTCGCATTCGATCCTGAGGGCCCGCGTCGTATGAATGCTGCCACTGGGAGGTCCCACATGCTTCCCCTCGTCGACAGCTCAAGGCAAAAGGCTCGGGAGATCCATCGAACCGATAAGCTTGGGAACCGACGAATACGGGTGCATACTGAAACGGTCCCTGGAACAGCTCCCGATGCGCACGGATACTGACAGAACGGCAGCACGCGACGCGCCACCGTCGGGCGTCGGCAACCCCGGGCGTCCCTGGTTGGCGACCTGCTTTGCCCCCTCTCGATCGCACAGGCACCAGTGCCAAGAGTTGAATGGAAGCACGCGTTTCTCGAG